GGGGGGGGGGGAGGTTTGCCCCGGGGCGGCCTGGCTTTTCGCCCCCGACCAGGCCTGCCCGCTCCCCCCCGCCACGGAGGGCCCCTCCCGGGATCTACCCGCTTCCTCCCACCTCGGCGGCAAGGGCAGACCTGTGGCCATTCATCCCGCTCAGGCCCGACCTGCCCCTCCGTCGCACCCTGCGGATACGAGACGTCCTACGGTGATGTAGTGCTGGAGGGTCCCCTGAGCTGGTGTGAAGGATTCGGCGGTCTCTCTTTGTTGGCTGCAGGAAGGTGGAAAAAAATGCTTCAAGTGGCAGAAGGTGGCTGCGGTAGAGATCCCGCAGTGATCTCCTGGGAGGCAGATCCTCGTGTTACGCTGGACTAACTTCACTTTGCCGGGTGGCTGTTCTCACTCTTGTTTGCTCGTTAAAGGCTACTGCTCTTCGGTATTTATCTGTTTTCTTGAAAGGGGAGTGTGAGAAATAGGTCGGGTTAAGACATGTCAGCATCTGGGTATAGGTGGGAAAAGGAGATTTCTCTTTGTTGGAATTCCGCAAATTAGATGCGAGTTTTCTGATTAAGGTTTGAAGTCTCATTCTTGGTTTCTAGCGCTGTCTGAGCAGAGCACTGTTCTGTGTATGGGCTTGAACTCTCCTTCCAGTTTTACAGGGCTGTTTAATAACTTGTGTTGTGTCTTTGTGTTGTAAATAGCTTGGACAAAAGAAGGACCTGTTGTTTTGTTTGTATTGTCAAAGGTGGAACCAAACTTTTAATTCAGACTTGTCCTGCTTTGCTTTTAGCAATTTATGTTAAAGTGGGTTTGTTCCAAGGTGTAGGTCATCTCTTTTTTACTCATCTGTGATGAGTTATCTCAGCTGCTGTGTAGAGCAGCAGGAGAGCCAGTCTGTCAGGGAGCTTTGCCTCAGGTAGCTGTGCTGCCCAAGCCCATCCCCTGAGATTTGGTGGTCCTTTAGTGCCTGTCTGCTCAATGGGAATGCTTTATTTAGTCTGTATTAGTGTTTTTGTCAGGCTCGGGCCACCAAGCTCTGCCCTAGCAATGTGCAGAACAGTTCTGCAGCCTTTCCATTCTATATGTAGTAAAACTCTCTTCTTTTGAGAACTGACAATCCTTATGCTTTGGTCTCTCCAGTAATGAACTATGTGGCAGGAGTTTATAGCGTGAATCCTTTTGGAGCTGCCCTCAGATCTGGGATTTACAGTGGAAGGACTTGGTTTCCTCTTGCCAGACATCTGGGCTTTTAATTCCAGCTCATATATCTTTTGCAAAGCACAGCTGAGTGCAGGAAGAGATATCTGCTAAATTAACAACCTGTTTGGGAGGATAAGACTTATTCTGCAGATAAATCTGTTTGGAAAATGCTTTTTTCACTGTGTCCCCCTTCTTCTGGTATCTCTTCACACTTCTGGAAGAGTCTTATCCATACAGTATTTGTAATTATATCCCTGAGATGATACAACAGTGATGATCATTGCTAGACTCTTCTGAGCTTTGTTTGAAAGGAGATACAAACGAACCCAACAAATTATAGGAGAATAATGGGAATAAGGGCACGCAGTTGCCTAGGCCCATTGTGTGTGGCCTGGTGGTTCCAAATTGACTACTAATGTTTGTTCTAAGTAGTTGGTTGTTCCAGATCTTGCTACAGTCCTAATCGTCCCCTGTTCTAATATCAGTGTAGCGAGGTGATATTCATGCAGCTTACAGGGAGGAAGAAGCACGCAGGAGCTTAACAGGGAAGAACTTATCCAATTCATGAACTTAGTAGTTGGGGGGGAGGGGGATGGCAAAGGCAAACAACAATAAATCTGTGTGGCTCTGTGAAGTTCTTAGTCCCATTCTGAAAGGCTGAGTGATGGCGGCCTGTTTTCCAGAGCAGAAATCTCTTTCCTAGACCATTTCATTCTGCTGGTTTTTTTTCTCCAATGAACTGGTGTTTTTCTTATAGCGCTTTTGCTGTGGTGTGTTTTGGGATTCTGAAGTGAATATTTGCTGGGCTGCTGGAAGGCAATGCTGAACCTCTGCTATTCTGTTCTTCCAGAAACATGCAACATGGCAGCAGCCATGGAAACTGAACAGCTGAGCCTTGAAATCTTCGAAACTGCAGGCCATGAGGAGCAGGTCCAGAGAGAGGAGCAGCCAAAACTGGAACCTTTCTATGTAGAGAGACATTCCTGGAGCCAGCTTCGGAAACTGCTCACAGATACACGGAAGTATCATGGGTACATGATGGCAAAAGCCCCTCACGACTTCATGTTTGTGAAGAAAAATGATCCTGAAGGACCTCATTCCGATAGGATCTACTATCTGGGTAAGCTTGCTGCGACAGCCTGTGTCTTGACTAAATAGTCACTGCGGAGGCTCTTCAAGTTTGACTGTTCTTGAGAGCTGGGTGTTGCCGGCAGTTAAATCAGAATGGTTTTCAGGCCAGATTGGCTGGTCAAATGTCATGATCATGATTGTAATGTCTCATTAAAACTTGCGATGTAATCTCCCACAGAAATGGTGTGATTGAAGGTGACCCATTAGGCCTGCTGGAGCTGGAAAAGAATTGTGAAGCGTCCTTTGGGACATATTCCCTAGCTGGGAGGACGGGTTAAGTTTGTTTGGTCTGTTTTCTCTCACTCCATGTATGATATCCCCTCTCCAAAAGCTGTGTCAGTTTGATCTCCTTTCTCTTAATTACAACTAGTGGGTAGAACCTTTTTTTCTTTCAAAGTTTCCTTCCAAACAGAGATTATAAATGTAATTTTGAGAGTCCTTTGTGCTTCCACTATTGATGGAGTAGGTTTTCCAGGGATTCTGGAGGGAATAAATAGCAGTGTAGGGCAGGGGCAGCTTAAAGAGTAAATGTTTTTCTCAACATTTTTGGTCTTTATAATGAAGAACTTCATGTAATTTATTGTTCTTGGCCTCAGTGCCTCATTTCTGCATTATTTCAGTAATTAGTGTTCACTTGATATATCTGCGTTTCTAAATTGCAGCTGTGCTTGAAGTGATTTGGCACTGTAAATGATGCTGTGAGCA